TAACAAGAACATCTTTTCTTTTATTTTCTTTAACATACAGTTGGATTATGGTTTTCCACAATTCTGAAAGCAGAGTCTTGCAGAGTCCTACAGCCAAAAGGCTGCTTTTCTGCTGCCTTCTCTCTCAAAGAACAAAAATCCTCACTAAATTCTGTATCATCCCAGGGGACGGAGGTGATCTATCCCAGGTAGAGCTGGGACTGCAGTCTCACATTCATGTGTCAATTTAGCGAGGAGGGTAGATGTCTGAGGAGCAGCAGTGCCCTAGTCCTACCCCGTGAGCCCTCCGCAGTCAGCATCTGAGCTCTGGTTCCCGTGAATCAGAAGCTCTGACCAACAGCGTCCTCACTTACACCCTACAGGCATTACCCTTAGTGTGACCAGCTTTGCTGCTGCCTCAGCTAGCTGCCTTGAACAAGTCATTTAAATTCAAACTGTCATAAATAGTATTTCTGTTTTTTTTTCCCTAGTCTTTTTTTTTTCCTGCCAGTGTCCAGACTCCTCCCGTACCTTACCAGTGACCTGATATCCAGGGATGCCTTGTGCACCTGTTGCCACTGGAAATAGCTCAAAAGTCAACATTCACAAGGACACTGATGTGCTTTTTGAGATGGGTATTACTGAATTCTCCAGAGTCTCAGGTCCAATTGTAGGTGGATGTGCCTACAGTCAGGCGTGTGCGCGCGTGCACACACACACACAGAGGCACACACACACACGCACACACACACACACACATACACACACATAAAAGCATCCACACCGAATACTATTTAGGCCTCTCTGCTTTCAGTGTCTGTGGACTAGAAATCACTTCTCTCACTGAACCTTTCTTCTTGCTGGTGAATCTTCATCATTCGAGAATGATCTTGAGATCCTTGGAGGTGGGGTGTCTTTAGCAGCAGAGGAATAGATCTTTCTGTTTCTCCTCCTTGCTTTGCACTTTTGTACTTCACTACTGCATTTTTCCCTGTGGAATGCCCAAACATGATAATATCAATTTAACCAGTGTGCTTCACTGAATTTTAAGGGAATTCATAGCTATTGTTTGATTGCCAGCAACCCTTGATTTTTCCAGGTAGGTTAAATTGAGACTAAAGCAATCTTGGCTTATTAATGTAACAATTAATTTGCAAGCCTGACAGCTCTTTTTAACATTATTTCTGCTAAAATGCTTCTGCTGATTTCGTATTTAATAAATTCCATACATGCAGCCTCAAAAAGTCATCCCTAGAGTGACGTGAGCATAATTTGTATTCACATATTGTAAATAATGTATTGTAAATTAAGCTGCCTTTTTCCAGCTTTGGTGTGTGTGCTATTTTGTAGATAAAAGCATATTTATCCCTGAATGCAAGATTCGGACTTCATTCAACTCTGACTTGGTCTTTCACTAGCTAATTACTGTTTGAATTAATATCATTTGGATCAAGGTGCTACCCAGCATTTGAATATGTAAATCTTTATATGGACTAAATAGGAGTTTCCCCAGTAGGAATTTCCTTACTGGGAGGAGATGGGTGATAATAGGGACCCAAAACATTTCCTTTCCTGAGCATTGCTTTGATTCTAGCATCAGTTAGTAGTGATTGAAAAGCCTTTAAAAAAAAAAGCGGCTATTTTATGTGAGGACCTGGGGGAAATTAAACGAGCTCTGTAGTAGTTTCTGAGTCTCAAAGAAACACCTGCACAGTTGTCCCTTCGCTGGCAGTTTCAGGAAGTCCTGAGCTGGAAGAGAGCTGATCCTTTTGGCACTGGCTGAAGGCGCATTAGCCAGAGAGCAGCAAAAGAGAAATTGAACCCCTATTTTGGATAAATGGCTCCCTGAGTTGTGTCAATCTGCCGCCTAATCCCACTACTAAATATACCTAAATAATAATAGGGCTCTAATGGGTTTCACTTTTGTTCCTCACCTGGGTATGACTATTAAGTCATGAAAATTTTAAAAGCTTACAAATTAGCTGAAGTGACAAATGAGTACAGCAGGGTGCCCTGCATAAAGTGTTAGTGTTGGAAGCCTGTGTGGCTGGTTAAGGGGCTGTGTTACAGCACTGCGGGCTCAGCTGAGCCAGGCACAGCATGTTTCGTCCATGAACCAGTCACAGACACACAGATGGGAGAGGAGAGAGACTCTGAACAGATACGAGACTTCTGATCAGATGCCGAGTGGTGGGTTCTTACAGGCTGCTGCGGGTAGGAAGCTCAAAGCCATTTATTATGTTGGACTCAAGTGAAAAATTTAAGCCCTCACCCATATGAACAGCACTAAGCTTCCCAGCAAAAAATTCAGCCTCTCTTCCCCAGGGAAGGCTATTTCCCAGCAAAAACGAACTGAAAGGAGAAGAGTTCACTGGGTACGCGGATAGGATCATTGACAGCAAACTGCTCTCTTCTCTGCAACATACATCTCAACTTTTCTCCAGTATGCCTGAAAGACTGTGCTGATTGGGTACTCTGGAGTTATTCTGGTTTCTCCTGGAATAATCTAGGACTGGAAGATGGAAGCCAGTCTGAGGAAGCCTCTCAAAGTTTTTACGAATAACATCAGATGTGCTCAGCGGCTGTGTCTGCAGGCATTGTTCCCCACAGCCTCACTCTAGGCTTTCTACTGAAAGACAGGAGCGTGCTACATTTTCAGAAGTATCGTGCAGTAAATCTCACCACTGTTGTGCTTTAAGAAGAAGAGGGGAATAAAACAAAAAAGCTTGAAAATATAAAAAGAAAATCCAGAATGAATTTCGTTAGAGATCTCTATTACCAAACAGCACAGAATTCATTTTCATGTCTATTGTCACCCTCTTTCAGGAATGAATGATGATTAAAAGACAGGATAATAAGAAGCAGGAATTTTAGCTAAGAAGCAATTAAAAAAAGAGAAAGAGGCAAAGGCAAAACAAGTGTTTTTGTTAGCTAGTCAAGGTTAGTTTTGCACTGTATCTGCTTTAACTGACGTTCTGAAAAACTATAGATGGCATAAAAGCAACTTCACTAATGCTGAACCCTGGGAAATTTATCTTGACAGCTTAGTGAATTTATTTGTTCTTCTAGGAGATTTCAACTTGCCCCTATTTAGGATGTTTTATAGCTTCATTTTCTGATTTTGGATTATTATACAAAGGTATTAGCTTGCAGAGTAATGTGTTCATCCTCTTTCATTGCCTGTTGTGGCTAAGGTAAAAAAAAAAAACTTTTCTGTAGAAAGAAGGGGTTTGAGATGTAACTGTTCTGTCTTCAGTGCTTGCTACTGAACCTGGATGATTTTTGCAAAGAAGAAAACATAGTTTTAAAGGAGTGACAGATTTTCCCATGGGAGTAAGGAAGTTCGTTGAATTCAGTTGTCTTTTGTAGTGAGATAAAGCCAGCTAACCAAAATTCAGGATCTTCCCTCTGGGGGTGCAAGCTCGGAGGCTCTGGCAGTGGATGCAGGTCCAGAGAGCTGGGCCGTGGCCCTCCCGGCATCTGCTGTGAGCAGTTGGGCCGGGACGTGGCCTCCCGGACGCCTGTGGGAAACCGGGTGTTAGGTTTAATCCCCATTCCTTTCCTGTCTCTGTGCAGGGAATATGATGCCCTTTGCCTGTTTTTTGAATTGAAGTTTTAAGCTTGTGCGGTCGAGGATCGCTCCTCGTCATAAGCGTCTTTGCTGGTGGCCAGAAGGGCTGCGCGTTTTGTTACATCCGTGCTTGACTCCCCGCAGCGTGGGGCAGGCGAGAGTGGCGTCCCTTGGCTCAGCAGCGGCGGGGTGCCTGGACCCGGCTGCTTTGGGGGAAAACAACGTTTGACTGTGTAAAGGGCAGTTCTGGTGGCAGAGAAAAAACTTCTTCACTGTGAGGGTGACAGAGCATTGGAACAGGTGGCCCAGAGAGGTGGTGGAGTCTCCTTCGCTGGAGATATTCAAAAGCTGTCTGGATGTGATCCTGGGCAATATGCTCTAGGTGACCCTGCTTGAGCAGGGAGGTTGGACTAGATGATCTCCAGAGGTCCCTTCCAACCTAAACGATTCTGTGATTCTGTGTGATTCTGTGATGCTGTGATAGGGCTGCGCTTGGACGGCGGGCTGCTTCCGAGGAGCGCGTTTGGGACGGTGCGCGACGGGCCCGCA